GGAGCTGAGGGTGTCCCTGGCAGACAGATCTGACAGAGTCCAAATGCAGGTAGTAGCCAGAGAGATGTGGGAGCTGGGGAGACAGAATGATGATGGCTACCCCCAACTTGAGGACTTCTTGGGAGTGAGACTAAATGAGCCCCCAGGGGCTCATGGCAAGAAGAAGGCCTGCCAGATGGTCCCCTCAGCCCAGAATCTGGGCCCCTGGCATCCTGCCTAGAGGCAGAAGGTGAGGAGACCTGAGGCACCCCAGGAGAAGGGGATAATGCAGCCCTGCACCCAGATCACCCAAGCTCCAAGCCAGGCTCTGCTTCCAGCTCCTCCACGCTGGTTCTGCCTCCTCGGAACTCCTCAGCCTACATAGCTCAGCTTGTGATTACCACTGTGCTGTTCTCTGATGCCCACGTGCTACCAGGGAGCCTTGCTTCCTCACCCCAAGGGCAGAGAATGTAATGTCCCTGCTCTCCCCAAAACCTGGTCAAACACAAGGCTGGGTTCGGGTAACAGATGCTGACTTACTGACACCCAGGGGCCAAAGAGAGGTTCGGTGGTCTGCAAGGACCAACTGGACCAGAACTAAAAGAAGACCTGAGCTCTTGGAGCAAGTCCAGAGGGAAGGATAAGGCCCAATGGGAGCACAGAAAGTGAGACAAGAGAGGAAGGGTGGTGAGGAGAGCAGAGGCCAGGAGCAATGACCAGCACCTAGGAGTCTGCGAAAGAAGGCAGATACAAGGCAGATACCTCTAAGAGCAAAGGAAAACTAAGCTCCTTCTGGACTCCAAGAGGGGCAGGGGGCAGGGAGGGGAGATGGAATCCTCAGGAACCTATGGGTTTGGGGAGCCTGAGTCTGGCCTGGGAGGTGGAGGCGGGATTCAGGGAGACTCAGACCTGATGGGGCTCGTGAAAGCAGACTCTTCCTGGGAGCCTGGATTTGCCTCTTTCCAGCCCTGAGATGCTGTCCTAGAGATTCTACAGCCATAACCCCCTCACACCAAGAGGGGCCAGAGGGGCCTTACCTCACCTGCACAGGTATGGCTAGCTGGTGAGCAGTGTCCCAGGACCCTTCCAAGGCTGTAGCCCCAGGAAGGGCTTCACTGCTTCAGGAGTATCCGTGAAAACCCAGAGGCTGAGCCAGTCACTGGGGAAAATGCCCACCCCCACGACACCCCCACTGGCCCCTTTGGGGGCTGGTATGGCCCTAAGAGGGAGGGGCAGGAGCCAGGGGTGCAGAATAAACAGCCCACAGCTCCTGTCAGTAACGTGGCGATGTACGACTAATGCTCACACATTTCTCCTGTTACCGAGGCATGGCTGCCTCCTCCTTCCTGTCTGTCTGAGGCACTCTCACCCTCTTTCCTTAGGCTGCCTATCATATCTAGGGGCTAGCTGACAGATGTCAGGCTGTGCTGACTAGTGGTTCTTGATGAAAAATCAATCAGGGAAGAGTGAGTTAATAAACAACATCCTGGGTACAACGGAGGCCTGCTAAGTCTGGTCTTGTAAGACTGGGCCCCTGGCCCCTGAGCCCCTGGGCCCCTGAGTCCCTGGGCCCAAGACCAGAGCTCCCATGGAATGGGGGCAGGAGGTGGAGAAAGGTCCAAGAGGAGAGGCTCCAGCAGAGGAGTGCAAAAGTGACTTTTACACGTGAAAATGGCGACTCCAAGGCTGGGGCCTAAGGTGCTGGAGGTGATAGAAGGAAATCTATGGGTTCCCACAGCTGTGTTTCTCACCTTATACTGGTGGAAATCTATCTAAGGTCAAGAGCCACGGAATGAGTGAGCTGCTAAGGAAGAGCTGCAGCCCAGCTGTCTCCTCTCAGGTTATGGCACTAGCTCAGCAAGATGTCCCCTAGCACTGGACAGCTCCCTGCAATCAGAAAGCTGGGAAGGCAAGGAACAAACGACTCTTCTCACCCTTCCCTGCCACTAAAATGCATCTTTGCCTCATTCAGGAAACCACATTCCCTAGTGTCCCTCGAACCAAACCTGAAACCCTCCGCCTGGCACAAGGAGCCCCTGGCTGCACGCGCACCCATCTGCGCACGGCGCTTGCCTTCCTGGAAGTGATAGATGGCCAGAAGACAGTCAGGGTGGAACAGAAGGCAAGCTCAGTGCTAGCACCTTCCCTCCCTGGATGGTTTCCAAGCCAGCCTGGCTAGAGCGAGTTTGCACAGAGCTGCTCACATGTCTCTCCCGTCAGACTGGGAGCACCCGGAGGGCAGAGACCATGCGTTTGCCTTTCTTTACATCCCTGGTGCCTCGCACACAGGAGGTACTTAATAAATGTTGACTGGCTGGCTGGCTGCCTAGGGGGAGGGGGTTCATGAGATAGAATTTCAGCTCATGAATTCAGGACAGCTTGGACCCCAGAGCAGGAGGTTCAAGGATGAGTGGGTTAGGTCTACCAGGGCATGGTTTTGGGAGATCCAGTGGTCTGAAGGGCACAGCAGCAAGGAGATACCAATGAGACAGCTGGAGTGACTTTGCCAGGCAGCTAAGAGCCTAAAGGGTCCCAGAACGAGGCAATGGATAGACAAGCCCACTATGTCCACTTCAAGCAAAGGTGAATGTCCACTAGTCAGGGACATTGTAAGGGGATTTTTGCTCAGACGTGGGTTGGATTAGAGGTCTCTAAGTCTTCGCCAGTTCTGACATTTGGGGGTTCTCAGGAAAGGAAAGGAAGGAGAAATGAGGGGGAAGAAGAGAAAAGGAAGGGACAGGCACAAAGGGGAAAGGAGAAAGTTTATCCTGGGGAGGGGGATACAAGGAGGCTCCATCCTGGCTCCAACCTCCAGGCTCCAGGTCACTGGCCATGTGTGTACATACATGCGGGTATACGTGAGCATTCATATTTGTGTGTGTGTACAAGCATGTGTGCTTGTACACGTGTGCACAAGCTCTTATGTTTGTACACATGTGCATGCATGAATGCCTGTGTTTGTATGCATGTGTGCCTGAGTAAGCACTCATGTTTGTATGCACCATGTACATATGTGCGTGCACGTGTGTGCATGAGTACTTGTGTTTGTACTCGTGGGTGTGCATGCACTAGTGATCGAAGCTGACCAACAGTGGCTTGCACTGATCCTCTGCCTATTTCTTGCTCTCTCTTGCCCAGCAGGAAAGCTAAGCAGTGAAGGAGGGAGTCTCTGAGCCCCCCCTCTGAGAAGTTGGGCATGGGCCAGAACGGGGGAGCTTTACTAGGACACTGCCCCTAGCTGCTTTCTCTCACTAATGAACTAACTGCATATTGGACATTTAATGAGGAGAAAGGAAGTCTATTAGGCCTGTTACCTGGGGCAAATCAGAATGAAGGCTGACTGCATCTTGTAAATAATAATTTAGGCCAAATCAGGTAATTGGACATGAATCATCCAGTAGCTACTTAGCCCTAGATTCAAATGTCCCTAAATCCATCAGGACTGAGCATTGCCACTTTTGCAAGGTCATGATATGGGGTCAGGAATGGACAGAAGGCTGCAGTCAGCGCATGAGAGTGGCCAGCCTGTAATGACTGTGGGGGAGGGGATGACATCATCTCGACTCTTTGTCCATGAGTGCCCCAGGGCCTGCCCTCTGGCATTATAGAAGCATCCCTTCCACATGTATTTTTGCCTTTCCCAAGAGCAGGGGTGGGGAGAGAGAGAACAAAGCACCAGCCGGCTCTGTTCTCAGAGCATCTATAGGTACACTGACAGATAGCCAGAACAGGGAACAGCCCACCAGCCCAAGAACAGGGTAAGAAGGGCCTGGGCAGTGCCAGTGAGCACACACAGGGGAAGGGGGGCACAGGGCCAGCTGATCTGCAGAAGGCCATGGTGGGCCCAAGGCACGTGGCTGGACAAGCAGGATGCCAATTAGTGGAGGCTTGTGGGACCACCAGGGGCATGATCCAAAGGAGGGAGGCAGAGAAGCATTAGTGAGCTTGGCACATCCCAGGAAGACCAAGAAATGCAGCTGGATAGACACCCAGGCCCCAGGAAGAGCAGGCTGGGCCAGGGCAAAGAAGCCAAGGGCCCTGAATGCAGATTTATGTTTTAAGTACTTGCATTGACAATGAGGTACCAATGATAGGTTTGCAATTAGACAGGAAACAACCAGAGGAGATTGGGGAACCTGGGCCTGGTGCAGAGGATAGACTGGAGGGAAGACAGTCAGCCAAGGGAGGGCAAGAATATCCAGGAGGCCATCAGACGGGGGCCTCAGACAAGAGTAGTGGCCACAGGAATGGACAGGAGAGCACCACCACCAAAGACCTGAGACCCTGGCTCAGCTAAGGTAACTCAGAGCAGGCATCAGCTGCTGGAGAAAGAATGGCCTTCTGAGGACACCCACAGTGCAGGGCCCTGACCAGCTGCCTTCTGGGCTCTGCCCTGGTACTGCCCTGAGCTGCTGACCCCGGGGCCTTTCCCCCAAGCCCCATCAGGCTGCAGCTGTGTTATTTGTATTTACTTCTTATCTGTATTATTGGTATTTACTTCTATGTGGACACATGTTCCTCTTGGTAGAATGTCAGGTCCTTAAAGGCAGGGATGGTTCCATTCTTGTCTCTGTATCCTCCGGTGACTAGCACTGTACTTGGCACACAGTAGGTGCTTAATAAATGTCAATGACTGATTGATTCTACAACCCCCACAGTAGCTTCCAGTACTGTGAGGCCTTCCATCTGGGCAATTCTAGGCTTCCTCAGTGTTCAACTGACCTGGCATTTCAGATATCAATGACTCCCTTCCCCTAAGCTTCAAGGTAGGTTTGCCCAGAGTCTGGGGCAGGGGCAGGATGTCAGTGAGGGAGGGAAAAAGATAGCCAGAAAAGCTCCCTGTGGCCCAAGCACTTGGGGAAGGAGTTGGGGGCTGGGCAGCCAGTCAGGGGGCCAGGAATCCTTTCTGTCAGAGAGAAGGGCACCTGCAGCCTCTTTCAACCTTTGGGGTCCAGGTCTCCATGCTTGGAGCCAAGCCCTGGTGCAAGGCCAGGGTGGGGGAAGGGGTGGCACAAGCTCACCTGGAGTGTCATCCAGCTTCCCCATTGTCTCAATCTGCTCCACGAGGTCATTGGAGTTCCATTGACTCATGCCTATGAGGAGAGCGCTCTTGCCTTCTGCCACGTCCTCTGCAGGGAGAGAAGATGAGGGCTTGAGAACAGAGAGGCAAAGACTCCAGCTTGAGCACAGGTGTGTGTGTGTGTGTGTGTGTGTGTGTGCGCGCGCACACACGCATGCGTGCGCGCACGTGCACACTGATGAGAAAGGCTGGGGAAACAAGTCCAGCATCCAAGGTCAAGGAGAAGCCACTCTGTCCCCATGTGGTATCTGGTCCTAAGGTACCACCAGCTGCTGGGGCCAACCTTTACCCAAAGCATGGCCTTTCAGGGTCCCTGCAAGGCTGTGCCTCCAAGACTCCTTCTCTAGGGAGGGGCCAAACTAGACTGAGACTTTAGAGCTCCCTGTCAGATGAGAAGGATGGTCTTCTACTCTGGTTGGGAGAGCCACCTCCAGGGCCTGGGGCCTCCCCAATCTCTCCCCAGGCAACTCCTTCCATTTTGAAGTCCTTTCTCATACGGAGGGAGTAATCTGCCTGTTTTCTGCATTGATCACTGGAGCCAAGTCTTCTGAAGGACGGCCACAGTCCCCCTGAGTCCTCTTCCCATCCTTGGATAGCAGGGTTTCAAGTCTCTCCTCAGCTCCCTTCTAAGACGTGGGGCCAGAAGTCAGCGCAGTAGCCACATGTGGGCAGACTAGATCCAGGACCACTCATAACTGATGAATTGTAGTCTAAAGGGAAGTAGCCCATTTAAGAGCCAAAGAGAGTCTGAGTAGGGGCAACCAACCCAGCTAGGCTGCCAAGCTGGAGCTCTCCAGGGTCCCAACTGCTTCCCTTCTAGAGTGCTAGCTTCTCGCCCTAACCTAATCTAGCCCAGCCTCACTGGCCACCTCTCTGGGTTGTCTGCCCAGGATGAGTCTGAGAGAAGCAGAGCAGTGCCCCAGGACCCTCCCAAAACACACACTGTCACGTCCCCCGAGTCCCCCTCACCCACTGTGTGCCCCATCTCAGCTTAGCGGCAACTGCTCCCCAGAACACATGCTTCAAATGAGCTAGGTAACAATTCACTATTTGGTCCAACTCATTAAGTGCCCACTTTTGTCAGGCTCCAGGGTCCATACTGGGGAGATAAAGATGAAAACAAAATGGTTCCCATCCTCAGGAAGTCCCTCACATTTTACTGGGCCAAGAATGAAGAATCCAACACATACATGCATACATGCATACATACATACATACATACATACATACATACACATGCATAACTGCAAGGTAATTGGAGGGGAGAGAGAGCCCTAACCACCAGGGGATAAAGAAAGGACACACAGAGAGGAGGAGGGCAGAGATTAGCTGATCCTAGAAGGAAGATAACATCTGAGAGGTGGAGTGGAGCAAAGTATTTCCTAGGCCCATAGAATACTCCAGGTATGGTTTTGGAAAATCCACAGTTAATCAGGAGACAGACTACCTGCTGAATACACCAGGCTCACTCTGAGGTCACTTCACTCTTCCTCAGATGTCACAAAGGGAGAACAGAGATATGGTACATCTCAGTGCAACTCTCCTGATAACAGGTGACTTAACCTTGTCTTATCAGTAGTGATTAACTCAGGCTAGCCCCCAGTGCCTTACTACTTCCCAGAAGGAGACCTAGCTTCACAACAGGATAAGCCAGGCTTTGCTGCTGGTGTCTTTCATTCCAAAGAAGATCAATGACATCATGTCCTGACTTGTTCATGATTGGATTTAAATGAGGCAGAGTTGTGCAAAGTCATCACTCTTCCAAAGTCATCAAAGGCCAGCGGCAGCACAAAAGTCAGGATGGTTGCTGATGACCCAGGATACAATGGACCATGTTGGCATCTTCAGGGTCTGATCCAGCTCAAGGACTCCACAGCACCTGCTTCAGCTGACTTTATGACCATTGGAATAAATTGTTCTCATTTGCCCATTCTGCAGGAGGGTAGTATGGGGTGAAGGGGACGTTTGGGAGGACGAGCACCTCTGGTATAAGGATTGCTCATTCACCTTTGGTGCCCACCTCTCACTCAACTCTCACCTGTGGCTGCAAGAAGCTATAGCACTCAAGGCAGCCACACCCCAATAAACCATCTCGGCAGATAGACTAAACCAGGTTGAGGGTAACCAATGGGCCTCAAATTCAGTCAGTGAGTTAGAAGGGTATCTACCCAAGCATGTGAAAAGCTAGGCATATATTCCCGGTGACTTTCCCTAGGGGTCCACCACTCTCCTGAGGTAACACAAACAAGCCAGGGCTCCCCATATCCCAGATCCAAATGGATGGAGGATTAAAAGATCATACAATATACCTATTCACATAGCTGGGCAATGAGAATGGCATCCCAATCCCACAGGGGAGGAGTCCTCCACATCATGGCAGTTTTATACAACTGGCCAGAGTCAGATCCCCAGCATCACACCCTCCTTCTCACTGGTGCCCATGGGCTGGTTAACTCTCTTCATGGAGAAGGTTGTCAAATGCCAAAAGCCCCTCCCAGGACCATTCCTTCTGCTGCTGCCCCTGCTGCTGCTGCTGCTGCCATCTCTTCTTCCTGTGAGCCCAGTACACTTGGCAGCCACTCTTACCAATGCCCCTGCACAGAGGGGGTCTAACTTTCCCAAGCAAATGCAGCTGTCTATGGCCATTCAGCATAACAATAGACTCTAGCCAATTCAGTTCCAGGAGGATCAGTGAGGCACCATGGAGGTTCTCACCACTGGCTTGAGAAACAATAGAGCTTAGATTAGATGGCACACTGCCCCTGCCTCCCAGAGCTTGTCCTTCAGTAGGGTTAGGGTGAGAGATGGAGGGGACCTTAAGTCAAACACCCACCTCAGAACGAGGGTCAGTAAAGGTATGAAGTCAGGTCATTTGACAAATGAGGGTAGTGTGACTTTTCCCATGATATATCATGGGAAAGCCATGATATATGCACTCTGAGCTGGGAGCCTTTCCATTTGGTCGGTTGGAACATGATGCTAATTCCCCACTTCTGGCCCTTTGCCCCCTCTGTGCTCCCTGCCTGCCCTGGTCTGTCTGGCTGCCTTCTCTACAAGCCCAGCACAAAGCCTTTTCTAGACTGTGCTCATCATCTTTCCTCTCTGGAGCACATCCAGTACTTGTCTGAATCTGTCATTTGGGGGCAGGATTTGCCTCATGGGGGGGGGTCTCTCTTTGATGTCCCTTTGGTGTCCTTAACTAGATTATGGATGACTGGAGAGAAATAACTAAGCCTTAGACATCTGCTTCTCCCACTCCACAGGCTGAGCAGCGACTCTCTAACTGACTGACTCACTGACCTGACCTTAGAATAATATCTGTCAGAAAAGACCACTGCCCAGCCCCAGGATAGGATCAGTGTTCTGACAAGGTCTCTCCATACACCAGTCTACATTCTGGCAAAAGATCACACAACAGTGAACATCTGAGAGCTGGGGAGAGGGAAGTCTGGTTGGAAGGACTTAGAGACAGGGATTCTCAACATCCCCTGCACCCCAAGGACCATCTGGCCTCCCCATGCACCCAGCAGCCAAATCATCTTCTCTGTGCTGTCTGCTCCAATGAGGAGGTGAGCTCCTAGAGACCAGGAACTGGTGGGTCACCTCAGCAATACAGCACAGTGCATAGTGCGTATTCATTCATTCATTCACTCAATCACAATTTGTGGAAATCACACAGAAAATGATTCATTCATCCTTTCACCCAACATTAGGCTCCTCCTACGTACCAGGCACTGGAGATGGGGACAAAAACCAAACAATCCCTGTCTCCAAAGTGCTTACGTTCTACTGGGGGGAGAAAACATACACAGGGGAAAATAGACCAAAGTCATTTCAGGAAGAGGGGACAAAAGTCTCTAGGGTGGGACTGGAGAAGGGGAAATCAGAGCAGGCCTCTGGGAGGAAGCATGAAAAAAAAAAGCTCTCATTCCAAGTGACAGAATGGAGGAGGGAATACATTCCAGGCAGAGAGTAGGGCAGGGCACAGCCTGTGCAAAGGAACAGAGGTGGGAGATGGAATGTTATATGTGAGGAACAAGGAACAAGCCAGTTTGGTTGTAATTTAGAATGAATGTGCAAACGGAAGGCAGGCTGGATGAAGACTGGGAGAGGCTTTACATGTCACATAGAAGTCTTGTCCTGGAGCCAATGGGGAGCCACGGGAGCATTTTGAGCAGAGGAATAATGTGGCTACAACACGATATTTTGGAAGACCAATTTGGCAGCTATGGTGGGGCGGGGGGGGAAGCAGATTATCCTAACCCTAACCCTCTAGGAGGCTACAACAGTGGTCCAGGGGAGAGGGGATAAGGGCATTAACTAGGGCAGTGGTTGCTAGAGACGTGGTTCTGGGAACTGAGGGCAAGGCAAAATTCCTCCAGATGTTTATACCAACCCAAAGCGGGAAAGCCTTCCCAATAAGCCATCTGACTCTCTGGGCTTCCCAAGGCAGTCGAGTGGCAGCCCAGGTACAGGGAGGCACTAGCCTTCTTCCTTGGACCCAAGCCCAGCTGAGTGATGGTGACCTGGGAAGGGGCCAGTCTATGGGCACAGCTCACGGGCCCTGACAGGGGAGGCTGGCTGCCCCACCTGGAGAGGGAGGGAGAGACCCCTGAAGGGCAGCAGCTTGAAGCCAGAAGAAAGTAAGGAGCCCCAGCCTACCTCAGCCTCTCCCTCTCAGTCAAGCCATGAGTCAGACAATAGCCAGGGCAGAAGGGCAACAGGCACAGTCAATGACTAAGGTCAGCTCAAAGGGCATGAACAGGCAGTTTTCAGATGAAGAAATTAAAGCTATCCAGTCATATGAAAAAATGCTCTAAATCACTATTGATTAGAGAAATGCTCAAAATCTTACAAAAATGAATGTTGAAAACTATCTTTATATGTAATTGGAAAAAATAAAATACTATTAAGTGGGGAAAAATTAATAAGGCCAGGTTGGGGCAGAATCTTGGTGGACACAGTCTGAGATGGGAGCCATGAGCCATCACAGGACCGTCATCATGATCAGGTCCGGGGCTCAGGGGGTGATTCATATCAGCCAATCCC